CTCGTTTCATGATAGATAGGTGATGTTATTAGATTTCTTTGACATAGAAGGTGAGCGAGCTTAAATTTGATAAGTTAGAGTCCCTCTCTGAGGTTAGAAGGTTAGATGTTTGTTGTTTGTCTGTTTATGACTTGTATATCTTGTACCATGATCAGGAAGTGTATATTTGATGGTTTGAGTTGATATATGGCCTAATTGTTAGTATCAACCGAAGTGGCGGTGTTTCTAGGCTTGATTTATTGAGAGTGGTTTTAATGCTTACTCGAGGTCAAGCAAGAGTAAGTGTGGGGTGTTGATATTCGGTCAAAAATGCATATATTTAACCGATGTTGTCTCACATTCTAGTACTTTTAAGCATCTTTTGAGTATTAATTATATTGTTTTGTGCTTAATATTATATTTTAACTGTGTAGGAATAAAGCAGCGTGAAGATAAAGAGATTTGGAGCAAAATTGAAAAAAACGCGGAAGAAAAAGAAAGAAAAATAAAACAACTTAAAAGGATGAGACAAAGGGGAGCACCCTTTGGTGTTTGTCCCCCCAAGTGGAAGACAAAATAAAGAGATACAATTCAAAGCCAACATTGAAAGAATTGAACGTGAAAACTTACGGGATTCAGCGCCTCGCGCTGGTCTGGATGCAGCGATTGCGAAATTTTCCTATTTTGCTCGGGACAAGGTTATTCCGGCTCTACACAGTCTCAACTCGTATAAAAGGGGTCCTAAAGCTAATTTGGAGGAGATCTAACATATTTTTGGAGGGGGAACATAAACCACGCTTGGAGGAAGCTTTAAACTAGTTTTTCTTCTCTTCTTTTTCTTTAATTTTATAATTTATTAGTTCTAGAATTGTGGTGCTACATGAACGTTGTAGTTTTAAGCTTGAATTGTTCTTATTGTTTTATCATATTGGTTTATTTATTCAACCTTGCGCTTAATTATATGATTGCTTGATCATCAATTGAATACTATCTACGAATCTAGGATTGAACTCGGGAGAGGGAATTCTAGATTGCATATAAGATTGAGTAGAGCGAGATCTTGAACCTGATTAACGGGGAACGGATTTGCGGTTAGGATAGGGATATACCTAATCGTCTTGCTTGGTTACGGGAATTATTAATGCGTTCTTGTTAATCCTAATTCCATAAGAATATAGGCGTTAGGTTAACTTGAATAGGCGAGTAGTACTTCGAGAGAAGGCTACGAGTAATATTAACCCTGTCAACTAATAAACCAGATAAATTAATTAGATAATTTAAGTAGAAAACTCAACGGGATTGTTAGCTAACCCATAGCTCTAGAATATCGTCTCTCATTGAATTCGTCTCTAATATTCGCCAAATTGTTTCATTTAATCTCTTAGTTTGCTACTCTAGATTAGTTGTAGTTAATAATCTTTAGAAAATCGCTTGAATAGATTAATTGTCTTAGTTTAATTTAGTTGATAGTTAATCACAAGTCCTTGTGGGTACGATATCTGCACTTACAATCCTTTATTACTTGTCGACCACGTATACTTGCGTGTGCGTTTGGGTGCAATACTCTACATCAAGCTTGCAGAGAATACCTGGAACCCCACTCTTGAATCTCCCATCCAGTAGCTCATTAGCTACAAGTGATGCATCTGTGATCGGTCTGTTCTTCATAAATGCATTTTGTTCTCTTGAAACCAACTTTCCAATTATTGTCTTCAACCTCTCTGCTAAGAGTTTGTCTATAATCTTGTACACACTTCCACTGAGACTTATGGGCCTAAAATCTCTGAGTTCAATTGCACCTTTCTTTTTGGGAACTAGTGTGATAAAAGAGGCATTACTGGATTTGACCATGTAACAATGCTGATGAAAGTGGTTAAGAGCACCCATAATGTCAACTTTAATTACATCCCAAGCTCCTTGATAGAAGGCCATTGTGTAACCATCGGGACCTGGACTTTTGTCTGGTGCACACGAGTTAATTGCTGCCATCACCTCGTCCTCTTCAAAAGCTCTTTCTAGCCATACCTTCTCATCTGATGTTCAGCTAGCTAGATATTCAAAGTTAGTTAGTACTAGGCCTCCATACTTCATTTTCAGTGTACAAATCTTGGTAGAATCTCAGGATTTCAGCTTTAATTTCCTCACTGTCTTCACTAATTTCCTCCCCAATGATCAGTTTGTCATCTGCATCTGATGGAGAATCGCATGCAAAGGACGGAATCTGCTGCTCTGTTATATGCTCTTCTGCAGCTTCTATTTCAACTGAGAGAGGGTCGAATCTATTTAACCGTGGGAGAGGGCTATTTCGTTTAGAGCATGGGTCGATGAGTGGCCCAATAGCCAGCCATTTTTGTCTATAGAAGTTACTAACACTAGGGGCTAGCACACGTTGCGGGTCACCCATTTTGTTTTGGGTCGCTTTTATTACGTTTGAATTAAAGTGACTTTGATGTCTGTGCACTGCACTATTACCCAGCGGGTTTTCCCCAGTCATCTTCGAGTTGCTTGAAGAAGCCACCACAGGCCTAACTTTCTGCCCTATCTCCACCGTCTTCCTTTTCTCCATCCCTGCAACTCTGTCTGCATCTTGGATTATCTTCATTATTTGGTCCTCTAAAATTGATACTTTGTATTTCAAATCATCAATCACCAGATCCAATTCCTTTGGGGGATCAACATTTTTTCTATGAACACAGATACGAGCCCAATAGAGATTAGATCTTTGTTTTGTATCTTCGTCTATCCCGACAAAGCCACCACATAAGTCACCGATGTAACGAAAAGTGTTTGTTGTCCATCCATGTAATGGAATACCAAATGCCTTCACCCATTTATGACCAGCTTCATTTTTCGCCGGAGATGAGCCAGCCTCCGGTGACCACCACTCTAAAGATAGGTGCCTTCCATTCCAATACCAATCCCCTGCTTTAACTCTGGCTGCTTCTTGTCTGGATGGGAGCTCAAAGAGGAATTTGTTGTGTGCTAAAGGAGTGATTCTGAGGCATGCCGTCACCTGCCATCTTGTAAGGAACCATTTCTAGATGACTTCAGGATTGGGGCTGGAGTGGAAAGGATCGTTGAAACAGTCAACCAAGCATTTCGCTAGAAATTGAGAGCTCTCTACAGTTGCTTTACAGGAGGTTTTTCCTTCCTCTTGTTGTGTGGGCCATTTTGTGATTGCCGCAGCAGTCAAGAAGGATCTTTCTTGCAAGTCTGCAATTTCCTTGTATTTGTAGTTAGAGGCTTCCTCAAAAAAATGTAATATCTTTCCTGCTATGTCACCCCATCCCCTGTTGTAATCAGCTTCCGGAATGATGATTGCTTTTTTCCGGTCCCCAACCAATGTTTCGATTCTGAGATATCTGCCATGAATGTTGTAATTTTGATAAACTCTGTAGATGTATGCTTGAATCTTCCTTAAAGATTTCCATAGCCCCGTGAAGCTTGCTGCATTTGTTCGCATACCCATCTCAAATTTTCTTCATCGATCTTAATCTGACTAGTGAATCTATGGCCATGCTCAATCCATACGAACCATCTGTCAAGACCCTCGCATTCTTCAATAAGTTCGAAAGATTTATCTCCTGCAATGAAAAAAGATTTCCCTCCTATAATAAAAAGAAAGTATACCGGAGAAAAGAATCACCGGAAAGAGAGAGTTAGGAAAGAATAAAGGTGGCACATTTCCCAAGTCAGAGCTCATGTCTTTCTTCTGAAACTACTTCTGGGCCTAAACTTTATGGACATGCAATTCTATCCTCCCTTCTAATCACAAATTCAACTATGATCTACTCCTGAAAATAAGTCCTTTTACTATACAAGAATTACGATCTAGAGGATAATATCAAGTCTTCATTCATAGACACTTCAATCAGTATTAGAGTTTAAACTGGACAATGCCCCACTCTGTTCGGGATTTTTTCCGTAGCTGGACAACAGCTAGGCTCAACAAGAAGGCATGCGAGATTTGGAACACTCAGGGTTGTGAAAAGCGGTCGCTTCCTCGCTTAAAGCGAGAAGCGAAGCGAGGCGACCCTACGACCGCTTCTGCTATATGAAGCGACTCAGGTAGGCAAAAGCGTGCGCTTCCCACTAAAAAGCGAGAAGCGCTGAAGCGAAGAGAGGCGACCGAAGCGAGCGCTTCTCTGTTTTAAACACCTGCCAACCTATTTAATTAAAAAAGAAAGGTGTTCTTTTATTAAAACATACGACCAACAAGAACAGAGAGAAAGAGGCGACTAGGGTTCCAAGTCTTGTACACTTTTCAACTTCAACATACGACCAGCAGCAACAGGTATGTGATTTCTTCTTCCTCATCCTCCTCCTCCTTCTTCTTCTTCTTCTTTCACTGTTTCAGCGTCCAAATAGCAACGAAATGCTGGCGAATTTTTTTTTCCCTTCGGTTCTTCTTTCTCTGTCTTCTCCTCTTCGTTGAAATGCTGCCCAGTTCTTCTTTCACTGTTTTTATGATGCTCAGGTTCTAACAGAATGGTATATTTTAATAGTCAAATGGTATATTTATTTTAATATTTTTTTTAAAATTCCACTTCACTTCAAAAAAGTGAGCGCTTCGCTTCTCGCTTTAAACGAAATGGGGGTTGTCACTTTTCCTCACTTCACGCTCTTCACAACACTGGGAACACTTTCCCTTTGGTCATTTGGTGGACAATTTAGACAGAAAGAAACAAAAAAAAAAATTGAAGGAAAAAGGAAAAATATCCTTAGCCTTAAACTTCGTTAGCTTTTTGGTGCAACTTGGCCTATGTAGATAATGTTGATTCTTTGCTAGATATGATTCGGGAGTTGCACAATATGTAAATTTAGAGGCAATTTCTTATTGTGGTTCTTTCCATTTATAAAATATACCCTTATAAAAAAAAAATATGACAAATGGCTAGGTACGCGAAACACCAAAATAGTACAATCTAATTGCTGAATTATTTGAGCGAGCCAAGGGAAAAGGCAAGAAAAAACCATAAACAATTTAACCAAGCAAATGCAATAACATTGACAAAATGTACCATCTGAGACGCATGCACAAGATTCTCTGAAATGACAATGGATAAAGGGATCTCCATGGCTATATCTCCAATTCTCATGTCTTGTCTTGCAACAGCTCCCCTTCCCGCTCCCTCAAAATCTGCATCATAAGATACACAAGTGTGAAAGGAAATGAAAATAGTATTTCCACCATTTTCAATCAAGAAGTTAGTTGTTGAAGGAGCTTGTTACAGTTTGTGAGGGACACAATGCCAGGAAATTTGACATAGAAAGTCTCAGATTAACCAGTAATGTCTGCATAACTAGTAAGTCTAGGAAAGTATGTGACTGGAAGAGTAGGAGTTTATAGGACTGCATATGGTTGAAACAATGGGAGAAGCATGACGGTTAGGATGTTGTACAATAACCGGAGGATGGTGCGAGTTTTGGCAATCAAAAACAAAAAAAAAAAAAAAAAAAAAAAAAAAAAAAAAAAAAAGAGAGAAATGGTTTAGCTATGTTGTTAGCAGGGTATGAACATTGGCAAAATACAAATTCGAGAGGCAAAGGATGACAATTGCTGTAGGAGTCTCACCAAAAATTTCACAGGAATACCCACCAAAGATATGCAGCATAAAGCATTATAGAAGCAACAATAGCTTCACTAGAAGGAATAGAACCGACTCATACTTTCCACCCTTGATTAGATGCAAATAGAGTAATCATTATCTTGTCAGCAAGCGTGTTTTGGATTACTACTTATAAATGTCATCACTAAAAACAAGATATTATTTTGTCTATTACAAAAGAAGAAGAAAAAGAGCATGTGCTAATTTGTTTTTGTTTCTTTTATCGGAGAAGGATCAAAAATACTTCTTTACTATGCGGAAAGGATCATTTATATCCTCCGTTATACTATTAGTTCATTACAGACCCTGACATTATAGAATTGGAACAAAAATACCCTTTTGCCGTTAGGGCCCTCCACTATGGCCAAAATCATCCCACGTGGCCTGATATTTTGCTTAGGTAGATGCGATGTGACATGTCATCTCACCGCTCCAATCCATTTCACTCCTCCCTTTTTTTTTCCTCTAACACCACCTCCCCTTTACATAACCACCGCCAAAAATAGACTGATAAGTCAATCAAAGACAACCGAGTTTCAGGAAAGGCAAGGCAAAAAAATAAGTGCTAGAGTGAAGTAAATATTGTTGCCGTTCAAGCAACTGGGACAAGTAAATAAAAGCTCCGATTTATTTCTACAAATTGCCCAATGTACAATAATTGATGAACAAATAAGAAAGACCTCATCTTTGAACTAACCCAGTAAAGAGTAAAGACAAATAGAGTACATGCGACTCCTTTCTTTTTCTTTTGGATGAGCACTGATTTTTTCGAACTTTAAACTTGGGGTTTTATTCTGGATAAGAATTTTGTTTGAACTGGACCAACGTCAGCCCGGCAACTGGTTTCCGATCTCCAAAGTACTCTCCAATGTTATATATCATAGTGGATGCATTTTCTTTTTTTAATTCAATTAATTCGTATTTTTGAGAATTTAACATAAATTTACAAGAAAAATATAGAAAACCCACACAGTATACAGGTATACCTATAAAAAACAAATATAGTGGACCTCATAAAAATTAAGTATATCTATACATTTTATAGTGGACCTCATAAAAATTAAGTATATCTATACAGAGAAATATTTTGAGTCTTGATGTTTTGTAAAATAAATAGATTTGCGGGGAAGGTAAGGGAACTATATAGTAATGTTCAGAATAAGGATATTCACGGTGGTGTTGGAGAAAAAAAAAGGGATTGGGTAGTGAGGTGGCATGCCACATGGGATCCACCTCAGCAAAATGTCAGGCCATGTGGGATGATATTGGCTATGGTGGAGGGCCATTTTTGTGCCTATTCTATAACATTGGGTATTTTTGTGCCTATTCTATAACGCCAGGGGCTGTGATGGACTGATAGTATAACGGAGGGTATAAATAATCCGGTTCACATAGTAGAGGGATATTTTTTACCCTTTTTCGTTCTTTTATTAACATTGGTCGAGCCCATGCCAGCTTGAATACACCTTGACTAATCCATTAGGCAGCATGTTTAGCCCACAAGCTCATTTTGCCTAGGTAATCCTGCCCATCAAGATTGAAATGGATGGGCTCACATGAAGTGTTCCAAGTTGCTACTCCCATACCTCAACCACAACACGTGTAATTGATACCGTGTGCTAATTTGTTTCACTAACATCTTTTTATACAAAAAACAAAAGGAAAAACAAGTTTGATGGGCACAAAAATGCACTTGTAACAAGTTTAAAACTAGAAGCAGATGGCAAGAGGTTAGGACGAGGAGAGTATGGGTAAGAGGGCCTCCAGGGTGAAGAGGATGAAAGGAATAAGCAAAGAGAGCCCGGCAATGGAAGGCAGCAAGTTAGGGTGCAGAGAGGAAGAGGCAGCAAGTAGGGGAGGGGCTGCAATAAGTAGTGGCAATGGAGGTAGGTTCGCATGGGAGGCTAGGTGTGAAATTGAGTTGGTAGTACTGGGAGGGTATACAATATGACAGGGTAGGAAGAAAAAAGGTTCTAATAATAAGTGAAAATATATTCTCATCTTACAAAATAGGCTTTGTCTTAAAACATTTTCAAATAAATGAAATTAAAACAGCAGCAAATGTTCTTCCTTTATGTACGAAGTAGTTTCTGACGTCAATGACAAATACAACTCCGAACAAAAAAGAATGAAAGTTACAAGAGTCTTTAGTTTTTTTGATGAAGAAAATATTTGAAACAGAAAATTACAAGAGTCTTTAGTTACACCAACCAAAAGTTCATAACATAAAATTTCACGTAAACAGGGAAGTTACAAATGTAAAGGTAACGCTGAATTGCAGTTGTATAGTTCTTAGATTAAGCTCCAATGCATAGCCCAAAAAGGAATACGAGTTTTCTCTCTTTCTTCAGCATTTTCAATCAGGTATGCCAAGAATAAACAAGTTAACTTGACTTTTAGATTAATGGTTAGATAAGAACTTACAAGATATCTCCAATTGTGACTTCACACCTTCGTCCTCACCCCACTGTTGTAAACATTTCTCTTGCTCGCAGCTAGATTCAGTAACAACTTTTCTCTCCTCTTTGAAGTTCTTTGCCACCTCAGAGATCACATTGACAGTTGCAACCCGTAATTCTTGCAATGCAGTTGATGCAGAATGTTCTCCACCCAACTTCGCAATGGCTGTGAGAATTGAATTCAAAGCTTCCATCTCATTCCTTGGACTATTAAACTCTAACAGATCGGTGACATCTTCTCCACCAAAATAGAGTTCCAGCTGAACCAAGGACAATTTTTATCAGTGCAGCTCAACCTGGAGATGATTATCATTCTGTTGGTGGCAAATGAATGGTTCCTTCTTCTGATAAGTTGTGGCAAGCTATGTTATATTCAGAATTGAAATTCTAGTAGAAATCGTTCTTTTGGAAGATATACAACCGAGCTAGTAAGTAAGGAGCTCGTTAGAAAAGCAACTAATTGCATATCTTTTGCTTAAATAACATTTTGCAGGCAATTTATAATTATTCTATCAATGATAGGTTGTCCCCAAAATTCAAAGCATTTAAGAGGAAATCTCACAAAGTATCCCTGCTACTCTAAAAAAGCTACTCGAGGAAAGAAAAAAAAAGTGTTATTAGCAATTAAAAGTTACTCAACTACTTTTAGACATTAGTATTGAGAAAGCAATACCTCATCTAAGTTTATGATTCTAGAACTCTGATGCATCAAATTTAAGGAAGACTTCAGTTCAACGGGACTTGCAGAGCTCTGTATGTATACAGGTTTTGCATGAGAACCCATTTCTTCCAGCAATTTCTGTAGACAAGATTAGATGAGATACCACACCCAGGGAACATGAGAGAAACATAAAGACCAGACTTTGACGAGTTTCTATATGGACAATGTAACAAAACTAAGGGAGGTAGGCGGAAGGAATAAGGACTATCAAAGTAATCAGATTCAAAACCTCAAACCTTCTTTTTCTTGAAGAACTTGTCATTTTCAGGAAGCTCAAGTATCAACGAGATGTCGCCATCAGTACGAGCATCATGAGTACGAGCATCATGAGGCAACTTCTGCTTCAACAACTAAAAGGAAAATAAAATGGGAAGTACTTCAGCAGTAATTACACAAAATATAAATCTATAATTTAATCGTATTAACAACTATAGAAAATATACTACATTCATATTACAAGACATATATATCTAGCTTTTTTCTTAATTTTCATGATCAAGAAAATAGCTACATAAAATTTACTACATTGACACATTCAGCCCTTGATAGGAAGCTGTGGAGGTCGAGTATTAGGGTTGTAGTGTAGGGTCGTAACTATGTGAGGTTAGTCTGCTAGGTTAATGTTGTGTTCTCACTACTCTTTCGTTTTATAGTGTCGGGCCTATTTACTGGTTATTGCTATTGTTTTCATCTATTTTCTGGCTTTTATGTTGTGTTATTATTCATTTGGTTTCTGTTGATGGTACTGATATATTGTCTCTTCTCGTTTTCTTGAGCCAAGGGTCTTTCAGAAAAAGCATCTCTACCCTCTCGGGGTAGGGGAAAGGTCTGCGTACACACTACCCTCCCCAGACCCCACTAGTAGATTTCATTGGGTCGTTGTTGTTGTTGTTGTTGTTGACATATTCATCCCAAGGTCGAAACTTGGGGTTTCACAGTTCAGTAATTCTTGGAAAATTCACTGAAGCGTCCAATTCACTTGAAATTGTTATATGGATATATTTCATTTTTCCGATATATTTCAAGAATCCAATTCAGTTTTGGTGCTAAAGGTTGACGCAAAAGTCGATGCATAAACTTTACCATTCACAAATGCAAAGATGAAAGTTTATCTCTCTTTCTGTCCCCGGAAAACCCTATTAGTGTTACCACTCCCTCCAACAACCAGAAACTGCTGACAACGACCAGCTCCACTCTGCTGCTTTACCCTCTATCCCTAAAAGTTATTCCGCAGCGCGTTGTTCTCCTCTCTCTCCTCTATCTAGCACTCCCTATCTCCCCTCTTAAATTTCACCCTTGAACTGCCCTAGCAAGCCACGTTTGGTATTTGACATCTTATCCGTAAATATTCAAAATTGAAAACCTAAGACATCATATTCTAATCAAAATTTTGTAACACTAGGACAACAGGTATATATTAAAAAATTATATTCATGTTGTTTATGATCATCCAAACATAATTCGACCACAATGTTACAACAGTTCGCAGGATTGTATTCCTTTTAAATTTTACAGGCTTATACATGATTAGCTCTGTTTTTTATTGCATTATAATTGATATTTTCAACTTATTCTGCTTCCTAGGTTTTACTCTGTTTTCAAGGTTAACTAACTCACAATTGCTAAAATTTACTACAGTTTCACGTTATCCCAATTTCCCTGAAATGTGGCATCATCTAGAAAGAATCAAAAACAAAGATATTAAAAGGGTTGATGGAAAACGATAACTTCATTGTTATCACGTTCATCCTTGCAATGTACATATACAAGTCTTTTCCTGCATTGAATATCCTCCAAAATTAACCATACTACTCAGTAGTTTTACCTGTTAATGGTTATGGTCTTACTGTTGTAAACTTGTAATGTGGTTGCGCCTTTGAGCTTGAAGCGTTGGATTTTGGTAGTTTATAGTCATGAAGTCTTGTCATTCAAATTCTTATCTGTTGGATTGTGCAACTTAGTCAGTCCTATTTGGATTGGTTGTTTTTGAACTTGTAGTAGATTAGTATCAGGTTTGAAAATTTCTGTACTACAAAATTTTTAGTTTTTAGTAACGAAAGGACCATTTGGCAACCAGAAAGCCCTTCCATCATAATTTTGTTAACAAGTTTTCTTCCTCATTCGCAAAGCTTAAACTATATTGCCTCCCGTACCTGCTTTACTTATTTCTTAACTTACATCATCTCCTTACCTCAAACCCCTCCCCTGGTCCTCCCAGCAGACTTACAAACCCACTGGCTCGCAAACCACAACCCCCGTGGGACTTAGTGGATCTACAAAAGTCTAGCTCTTTTAGCTCTATATTATAACTTGGTGACTGTCTCAACTTCCTTCCTCACTTTATCCTCCCTCCACCCTTACAACCCTACCCTTCTCCCCACCCCTTAACCCTCTCTTCCCATACCACCCCCCCATCCCATTCCCTTCTCCTTCCCCTTCCCCATCCCCATCCTTATCCCCACTCTACGGTACCAAATCCCCAATTCTGTTATCATATTCACTTCCTACCAAAACTTGTTTTGAGAACATTTTTGTACTCATCATATTCATTCTTCTGTTATTTCAAAAATTAATATTTAACTAATGACACATACAAGCATTATGTTGTCATAGTGGAAACAAATATAAACAAATGAATATTATGGTTACTAAACAAGCCATAGGTTCTTATTTTCAAGTTCTAATTAAGCCTTTCATGTTTGACAGTTTGCCACTTTTTAATTGTCTTATGTTGGAATTTTATTTATTGACTGTTAGCTTTTTCACATTCGTAAGTTTTCGGTTACATTAATTTCGAGCTATTGAGCAAATCAATGTTTTGATCTTGCTTAGGACTAGGTTTCCTAATCGATGCACTATCCAAGTGCCAAACTACACTATTTTTGTATTATCGTAATATAGGGCTTGAAAATGCAACCGAAAAGGTTCAATACTTGGGCTCAGATCCCTATTCTTAAGCTAGTGCACTCTGCTATGCTCTGGTTCTTGAAATTGGATGACAGGAAATTTTGGAAATCAAACTGGCGGAATGACAAGCCCTATACACACCATTATCAGCAACAATATGAGCTGCCCAACCATTGGCAGACGAACACATTGAAAAGCGCTTCACTTTATGTTAAACTAGAATATCTCTAGAAGTTGCTTTTCCACTGAATTACTTGATATATTTCTATTTGGATCAAATCAGAATCTTTGATAGCAGTAGTTAAATGCACAAATCCAGTCCATAAACAAAAATGGAGTGCCTGGATACCTCCTTGGAGTATTAAGAAGAAAATGCAAAACCAGAAGAAAAAGAAGTTCAATCAATGGTCAAATAGAATGTTCTAAATGAAAATAAGAAAACCAACTAGATATCCAAATAAAAAGAGAACACTAACGAGATTTCAATGTGATACGCTGATATACTATGATACAAACAATTCAATCACTACAAATAGCTCCAAACTCTACATTAGCGGAACAAGCAGGTGTCTTTGCAGTTTGCACAATGAATGATGAGACAAAATGATGTTGGAAACCTTTTGCTGACACCATAATCATAATTAGAACTAGAAGTGCTCTGATAATTTGGAAGTGACTGATGATTTAGCTTACCTTAACTTGGTTAACACAAATGTTTCATGAATTAAGCAACCCCACCACTCCAAACCTTTAAACAATTATGAATAATGCAGTTTCTAGGCGGTTTCTGCTTTTCCTAATGACATTCGGTTTCTTGGTACTGATTTTCCTCAATAGCACTATTAGATTCATCTCTATCTACCATCCTATAAGTGGGGGTAAGGATGGAAAGGAGAAAGTTGTTGAACTTAAGACATGGAGTACACCAGCTGGATGTTTTGCTTTTAAAACAATAATAATTTTGATAACTACAGTATTCCATCAAAGAACCACGGAGGGTTATATAGAAGAAAATTTTACAGCAGAATATAAAAAATTCAGCTACATCTCTATTGGACAAAGCTTGAGCACTTACCTTCGCACAATCACATTCTGCATCTAAAAATGTACTGATTAAAAAATAAGACAATAGAACTGAATAGAAGACAAATTACATGTTAATTTTTTCCATATAAAGGATCCAAATACCTAAGAACTGTCTATAAAAACTAACAAAGGTTTTTAAGATATAATTAACACAACTATGTAGTTATTCCCAAAATCAATTCCCCTATTTTCCCGTCATTAATTGTCAACCATTACTCTAGAATATAAAAAACAATGGCATAAAGTAGCCCAAAGTTACTCAAGAGAAAACGAAACAGACAGGAAAAGGAACTGGCATAGCTATTGTTAAAAGAAAACCTCCAAAACTGCAACGGTCAAGCAGCAAACCAGTACTAAAGTGAAAGAGTAGGAAAGCTAAAGCTTACCTCAGGAGCTTCCATTGATAAAGGAAAATGGAAGAAAGAGTTGACTAAAGCAACTTCAACGTTGGAAGGTCCAATTTTTAAGGGAACAAATGACCAACTTTACCCCCTTGACTATTGAAAATAGAATAACTATGCCTTTAATGTTGGCACAAAGGGCACCCAAGTAGCCCACGCTAAGGCCATCTCCAAGGCACATTCATTTTTACCTCCAAACTCAAAAATAAGAAATTTTGCCTTAATCCAGTTGCAAATTTGCCTCCATTCGGAGAGTGAACAGATTTGGACTAATCCACTCCATCACTATTTCCTATTAATTTATTGTTATTTTTTATTATTTAACTATTTTAATTTATCATATTATATATACCTAATTATGTTTATGTAATATCTTTATAATATTAATAAGTTTGCGTACAAATTATATTATTTAAAAAATTATTATATAAAATAATTTTATTTTAAATGATTATATAAGAAAGAAATATGAATTATATGGGATGAATATGTAAAAAAGAAAAAAAGATAGGATTTGTTTAATTGAAATAAAAAAATAAAATTTAAATAAAAGATAATAATATAATATAAAAAAGAGAGAAGAATATAAAAAAGAATATTCTTTTTTGAGTAAAAAATGGAGTAATTGTTGGAGTTAGTTTACTCCATTTTGGAGTAAAGTTTGGAGTGAAGGGTTGGAGATGCCCGGAGGACTCTAAGTCCAATATAAATGGGTAAAATACATAAATAGCCAGATTTACAAGCGGTAATTGAAAAATAGCCACAGTTTCAAAAGTAATCGAAATTTAGTCACTTTTCATGTAAAGATAAATCTGAACAAAAACACTGTTCAAAATCCGAAAAATATTCCAGCATAATGTTCAAAATCCGGAAAATATACTGGAGTTCGAATTTTTTATATGTGAACTTCCAACATAATATACTGTAGTTCCAGTATAATATACTGGTCCAGCATAATATGCTGGAAGTTCATACACAGATGCTCCAATCTCCAGTATATTATGCTAGAACTTTTCGTGTGTTGGAGTTCTAGCATAATATGCCGGAAGTTCATATACAGGTGCATCAAAATCAAGAAAGGAAACAATTAGAGTGGATCTTATATCTTTAAGGATAAGAAAAATTAAATTTCTCCTTTGATCTTGTTCTAAAATCCTTTCTTTTTTGTTCAAGTCTTGTTTCAACTAAATCCTACTATTTCTATTATTTTTTCACTTTCTTTAGTGTCTCAAAATTTCTTATTTTACTACTAAGGGCTTTGATACGAGTTGGGTCTAATTATAAATCCACAAAGTATTTTTTTCAACGGTTAATTGAGGAGAAAAAGACAAGAGTGGGTAAGAAAAATTGAGGAAAAAAGTCAAAGTTTGATGATAACCATTAATTTTTTTAAAAGATGTCCAATACATGTGTGTGATGATGAATTAATCGCTCTTCAGGAAGCCGAGATCCGAGCAAGAAATAATTTCACTCTACAAGCTATGCACCAATAATTCGAGAGATGGAACTTGCAATTCTAAGAGATAGGGGTCACGACCCAAAATCCCACAAAAGGGGTTGTGATGACACCTAATCTTTAAGACTAGGTAAGCATATCACTTAATAATTTTAAATCAGTAAAACATGAATAATAAGGTAGAGTTTAATATAAAAATGGAAATATAGTCAATACAGGCCAAAATGGCAATATTCAATACATCTCCCCAGAACTACGTAGTACAGAGTCATGAGCTCTAGCTGGATACTTACAGAATATTTAAAATACAGTATTGTTCGAATGTAAAATCAACATTATCAACATATAGGATGAGACTCCAAGGGACTGCGACAACATGTAGCTCTATCTTGAATCCTTACGAATGATACAAGCTCTTACTCTCAATATTCGATGCCTCTAAACACCTGGATCTGCACAAAAATATACAGAAGTGTAGTATGAGCACATCACATTTGGTATACAATAAGTATCCAAACTAAACTCAGTGATGTGGTGACGGGGTTCAAGCCATATGATACTCACTAGTCAATAACTTATGCAATATATTAATAAATGTCAATAGAATATATAAGGAAAAACAATATCAACCATCTTGTAGAACATGTGATAACAACTCAATGTAGAAAAAAAACCATTTTTGGCAATAAATAATCAAATAGAAGTAAATTCATATAATAGCATGCCAAATACCACTAACAACTCATTTTAAAAAAATATGATAATTTTAAGAAAACATGCATGTGATCAAAATATCAATCTCGTCGCAACACATAAACCACATAAAGAAAGATATCCCGAAATCATCACAGGACATCATCAACAATGCAACCCTTATTTTGCCGCATGCGCACATAACAATAAAATGCCCTCTTTATTTCGCCATATGCGCATATCACCACCCTTATTTCGCCACGTGGGCAGTCCGAGAAAATGCCACCCTTATTTCACCCCACGCGCACAACAATAATCACAATCGCACGGTAAAGACCTAGTGCTGACACCCCAATCAATCCGCTCAACATGTCCACATGTGCCACAATATCACAAAAAATAATACTAAAGTTTCATCAAAGATATAAGCTCACAACTTGTCAACAAAGTGCAAGAACATGACAATAACATAAAAATGCGCATGGGTGTTCAATGCATAAAGCATGACTATGGATAAGTCAAATGTAGTGATAATGATCATATAGTCACAAAGTGATTTAAGCATGTTTCATATAAAGTACATCATCAAATTAAGGCATATTAATAGCCTAAAGTCTAATCCGATCATAAGCCACACATAGCACCCGTGTACACGCTCGTCACCTCGTGTACACGTTGGTTTTCACATAAAACGAATAAACAATTAAGGCCAAATCCCAAGGGGTATTCCTCTACACAGGGTTAGACAAGATACTTACCTCACAAGCCAAATCAATACTCTAAAAAGTGCTTGCCTATCGAATTAGCCTTCGAACGGGCCAAATCTAGCCAAAAACAAATCAATAATATCAAACACGGTTATAGAAATTGATTTCAATTAAAAAAGCTCCAATCTTTATCAAATATAAAAAATTCAACCAAAAAGTCAGTCCGAGTCCGCCTCCCGAAACCTGATAAAAGTCACAAATCCTGAACACCCATTCAAATACGACTTCAACCATACAAGTTTCATCCATGTCCAACTCCAAATCGGGGTTCAAATCTCTATTTTTTATTTTAGAAAAGTTTTGCCAAAACCCTTAATTTTTCTCACTTAGATTCACCAATCAAATACCAAACTCAAAGATGGAATCATAAATAATGATCAAATCTAAGTCAAGAACACTTACCTCGATCCAAGTAATGAAAATCGCCTCAATCCGAGCTCCCAATCTCAAAATATGATAAAATGAGCTCAAAGTCCAAAAATAAGAACTTAAAATATCTGCCTAGCGATACCCGTCACGATCGCGGGAACTACTTCGCGATCGTGAAGAATAAAACCTCAACTTCCACCGGATGACCCTACGTGAACGCGGCCCTTGGATCGCGATCGCACTTCACCATCACCCAGGTCTACACGAATGCGGTGGTCTTCCGCGAATGCGAAGGCTAAACCACCTGCCTTCCTCAGGTTGGCACAAAGCTACGCAAATGCAATCCCCTGTCGTGAACGTGAAGCTTCAACTCCCCAACAGTCTGCGATCGCGATCGCGATCTTGACCTCCACTATGCGAATGCGAAGGAGAAAATCACTAGCCACCAGAACACACTTCGTGATTGATGTAGCACCAACACTAGAAAACCAGCCATTCCAAATATGAGAGAAATGGTCTGAAACCCATCCAAAACACACCCGAGGCCCTTGGGACCCCGTCTAAATATACCAACAAGTCTTACAACACAACACGGACCTACTCGAGGCTCCAAATCACACAAAATAACATCAAAACTATGAATTGAACCTCAATTCAAGCCTAATGAGCTAATCAACTTTCAAACATTCAAAACTCATGCCAAACCACGTCTAGCCAACTCGGAATAACCCCAAAATTTGTACACAAAGTCCCAAATGATATAATCAACCTATTCCAACTCTCGGAACAACAATCCGAACCCGATAGCCTCAAAGTCAACTCCTGGTCAAACCTATGAACTTTTAAACCTTCAAATTTCTAACTTTTGCCAAAAAGAACCAAATCAACCTAGGAACCTCCAAATCTAAATTTTGATATACGACTAAGTCCAAAATCACCATATGAACCTAATGGAACCATCAAAATAATATTCCAGGATCGTTTATAGAAAAGTCAAATTCCGGTCAACTCTTATAATTTAAGCTTCCAACCTTGAAACTAAGTATTCCATTACAATTCAAAATCTTCCCAAAACCAAACCAATCATCCCCGTAAGTCACATAACAACAAATACACATACGGGGAGCATTAAATAAGGAAACAGGGCTCAAATATACAAAATAATCGATTGGGTCGTTACATTTTCTTCTTCTTAAACAAACGTTCATCCTCGAACGAGTTTAGAATCTTACTTGGGATATCAAAAAGAAGAGGGTATCTACTCTGCATATCATGCTCGGTCTCCTAAGTCGCCTTCTCGAACGGTTGACCTCTCCACTAAACCTTCACCGATACAATATCCTTCGACATTAGTTTTCGAACCTGCCTATCCAAAATGGCCACTGGCTCCTCATCATAAGTCAAATCCTTGTCCAACTAAACTGAGCTGAAATCCAACACATGTAACGGATCCTCGTAGTACTTTCAAAGCATGGAAACATGGAACACCGGATGAATTCCCGATAAGCTGGGTGGCAAAGAAAGTCTGTAGGCCACCTGTCAAACTCTCTCCAACACCTCGAAAGCACCAATATACTGAGGGCTCAACTTGTCCTTTTTCTCGAACCTCATCACACCCTTCATGGGCAAAACTCTGAGTAGAAACCTCTCACCCACCATGAATGTCACATCACGAGCCTTCCTATCAGCATAACTCTTTTTCATGGACTACGCTGTACGAAGCCGCTCCTAAATCAATTTCACCTTCTCCAAAGCATCACGAACCAAATCAGTTCCCAACAACGTAGCCTCCCTAGGCTCAAACCAACCAACCA